TTTCTGTATTTAATAATAATTTTTTTTTTTTAGAGAAAGCACTTTCATTTTAAAAAAAAATGAATAGGTAAACAAGTTTATTGATAAAAAAAAACAGAGACTGTGTTGCAACAATGGTTTAAGGCTACAAAGATAGATAAATTAAAAGTAGAGAACTCTCTATTTTATTTGTACCAGTTTATTAAAAAAGCATTTATTGTTAATTATATTGCTAGAAATCTGGAAAAAATCAAAAAAACTTTGGATAGTATAACAAAAAATATTTTCATAACTTCATGAAATAAAAAAAATTTTGCCAATAATTTATATTTGTGAGATGATTAGACAAATATCAATAATTTATTTTATTATTATTAATATATAGCTGGTATAGAAATACAACTAGTTCTTTGCATTTTATATTATATAATACATAAAAGCATAACTATATATATAACTTGCTATATGAAATAATATTAATTTTTGTTTTTCTGTTTGATGATGCAGTATTTGCTCTTCCGTTTACTATAATTTCTGAACTTGAATGGTTCACTATTCCCACTATCTTCCTTGTCGCTTTTATTCTTTTTGGTATCTTAGCTGTTGGTATGTATTATCTATTGTCTATCTATTAGTTATAGGGTTTATATAACACTAATACCTGACATTTTTGATAATGTTCATGAATAATAGGTTCAGAAATTGAGAATCCATTTGGTAAGCCGCAGTGAAGCTTTAGCAAATAAATTTGAAGAAGCCTTAATGTTTTTTTTTTTTTTTTTATAGGATATGATGAAAATGACCTCCCGTTGGACGATTATTGCAAAGTAAGGATAATTTAATATTACAAATTTCTTTATAAAAATTGGTACTCAAAATTAGTATAATTGCAATTTAGGATTTGGAAGCAGAAGTCAGATATTTACAAAGACATCTTCCGACCAAGAAAGTAAAGGACATCTCCAAATAAATATAATATAATAGATATTGTATAATGTCAAAAATTTTTAGAATTAGTTGAAAATTATATTTATTAACATTGTTTTTTTTTTATTTAAGTGTTGCAATTTGATTGATTTAATACTCTTTTAACACTAGTAACATACGCACATATGTACGAATTAAAAGATAGTATTAAATGTTTAATTATTCGAGTGCGTACGCACGTACAGTACGTCAAATAAAATCAAAGTTTTTTCTCGTAATACACATAGAAAATAATAAAAAATAACGTAAATTTCTAACTTCAGTTAATTTTATACTTACGTTT